TTGCCATTGCTGAAAATGCTTTCTTGTGTGCACAGCCACGTTTCTGCAGGACAGATGTCAGGTCCTGTTACCTGACACACTTACGTGCTTACAGCCTTGTGGTTAGAGCAGTTTCCCTGAGTGAGAACCAGACTGAAGCTTCTCAGACTGAGGCAGGCTAAGCACTTGTGTCTTCCACTTCCTTTAATGGCCTAATTGGGCCAGAGCATCAGGGACCTCTCCTTTCCCTGTTCAAAGCTTGAAAGAAAATGTTCATGGCTCGTATGCCCTGCACTAGACTTAAAAAGCTGCAGCTAGAGGTGCTCCATGCAGGCTCCCCCGAGGAGGTCTGACAGGGGCCAATGCTTTGTATTGACCTCCCCAGCACCTGCAATTGCTGTGCAAGGCTCCTCACCCCAGGGTGCTCCTGTGCAATGGCTTATGTGCACTGGGAGCCACAGGAGATATGTGTGTGGGGGGGTGCCTTGTGGGTTTGTGACTGAAGGAAGGGCCTTTCAGATCACATTTTGGAGACTTGGCTGCCTAAAATCCACTGAAATTCACCTAAACAGAAAAATATGTCTCAGTCCCATTCTTCAGATCTTGGGTCCCTTCCGGCCATCCAAATGAATAGAGTCTCCCTTGTGCAGTCTTCTCTATGTCCTCACATGTCAAAATTATGCAGGGAAATGAGAATCATTCCTACTACTTCTATCAAGTGCATAACAAAATATCCTTGTCTAATGCCCTAATATCATTCATATTTTCTTCACTCATGGCAAAAACTGTGGGAATCTTTCCCAGAGGCTGGTGATATACACTGGCTGTGAAGGACTATTTGTATTTGGCACTTGGAAAAATTTCCAGAAAAAACCCCCAAAGACCTTCAAAGAGCATCCTTTTCCTTTTAATCTAACAGAAAGCCTTACTGACAAGGAGTTTGTAATATTTATCTAGGCCATAAAAAAGATCTCGAAAGATATACTGCAAACAGTAAACCTTTGTTCTTAGACCGGTCAGATAAAGGCCAACTGCTATTGTGAAAATTTGTATTGCTGCTTTTATCTGATTAGATCAAATCTACTTACTGAAAGAAAAGTAAAGCTCCAAGCTTTTGCCCAGGCTCTAAGCCATCATAATATATGCATTTGTGCTCATAAAAAGTTGAGCAGTGTAAACACACTTTTCATCGTGGGGCCCCTCTAGCCAATTACAACCTAAAAAAGAAACTATTTCATTCATCATATGATTAATGAGTATGTCCCTTCTCACCCCCTCAGCATCTCCCTCAAGTTGCTAGGATTCTTAACTATAATATAGCATTTTCCAGCTTAAAATCGGGAAGCATCTTATAAGGCAAGTGAGTAGTGTGGCAGTTGCTATCACTGATGGAGAAAAACATAAGGCAGTAAGGCATTTAATGACCTGACAGAGCAGAAGGACCATAAAATTCAGCCACTGGTTTTGGTGTAATGATGTAGTTCCTGTTTGTATTTATTTGTTTTGATATCCCATCAGATTGTATGATGAAACGCAAACACGCAAAGACAGATGCGATTCCTCTAATTATAGGGTAAGAGTTCTTTAAAAGAAAACAGTCCCCAGAAGGATAAGAAAATAAACTTGAGAAAAAAACACGCTCTGGGCTATTTCTCCAGAGGACAGTAGTAAATTGGATAGGCAGAGGGAGGGTGCTGTAGCCCCAGTTCAGTCGTTTTTAGCCGCTGGCAGAGTTTTAAGTTGTCTCCCTGCTGATTAGCACCAGGCTGCTCCTTTCCCTGCCTGAGCAACCAGCCGGGCTGGTTGTTCCAGTGAAGCTCCCCAGTGCTGGGCACTGGTCCATCTGCCAGTCCCAGGCAGCCCAGCCTCCTCCACCTCTGTGTCTCAGAGGGGATGATGAAGGCAGAGGGCTTCAAAAGAGGACCAGCAAGGTTTCCTACACTCTTCCAGGTCCTAAGGAAATAGGGCTTCAGCAAGGGCAGTGAAGATTCAGGGGGTTATCGGGGTTTTTTTTTTCAAGTTGTTGCTACTGTTGTTTCCCAGTAGAGATGCTTGTTCAAAGCTGCACAAACCACCTAGTAGTCACAGTGACCAATCAGATATTATCACCTTACATCCTGAGTCCATGTTTTCCTTTTTTCTCTGAAAAATGTCACGTAACAAGTGCCTAGTCTAGACTAGAAGTCACTCCAGGGAAGAAACATTTCCTTCTTATTAGCTTCCCTTCCCTCTTAGCTATCATTTTGGACTGTGTTTTTCACACAGTGGATTTAGCCTAAGAGCACAATGTCCTTTTTTTTGTGCTTGCAGGATAATTAGAAGCAGAGAGGATTTAAGCTCTCACCTGGAAGAGATCAAAGTGATAATAGCAGAGGAGTCTCAAGAATGACAGTCAAGTTTTCAACTTAGAGGAGGCCAGCTTTCACAGATGAGACAGAAATTCTTGAGGAAGCAGCAGGAAGTGGAGAAGCAGCATTCAGACGGTAACTCCTGCGGTCACAAGCAGAGCTCTGTACAGCCTTACCTGCAAAAGTAACCTTTTCATAACACTCATCAGCACTGTCGTGCCTGTGAAAAAGTGGTCATGCATAAAACTGGTAATGGGTTGGTAGCCTGAGGTCAGCAAAGGTGACTAACTGGCTAGCCAGAGGGGGAATGGCATGGTCACCCCTCCTGCACTCCTGGGACCCAATCTGGACGTGTTATTTATTAAAGAACTCTTTAAAAAGTAGAGAGACAGGTGCCTGAATATGTGGAGCCAAATGGAACAAATGATAACAAAGAAATGGATGCTTTTGCAAGTTTGGTTCCCCCCCACACACGCACATATATTTTAATAAAGCAATCAAAAGATAACAAGCTGCAAATGTCCAGTGATGAAAGAACCATAAATATAATACAAAGAGAGATGAAATCTGCCCAGCATTTAACTGAAATTAGAAACCCACTCCACTCTTTCCTGGAATGGAGATGTTGAAAGGATAGTTTCTGAATTTCTTTGAAATTGGCTTTAGATCTGAATAAATTTGAATTAGCTCTTGGTGGTGGAGGAGAAAAATGTGAAAATTTCGCTCACTAGTATGGCTATCATAATTTTGTACTGTAGAACCAATGATACAATGAAGACCTACCAAGTGAAGAAGACAGAAAAGTAGCTGGTAGCCTTCCTGAAACCATTCCTGTTGGGAGGCTGTTGGTGAGTGAGTTGTTCCATCGACTCACAGCATGGCAGTAGCATCCCAGGGCTCACTTGCATATATATTCCAGGTCAAGTGCTTGTGTACTGATTATCCATATACAAGATGGTCCCAACCCAATCAAGAATAGCTGTCACACAGGCTAACCTGCATGAAAGTCATTTAGAGTGGAAGCAGGGGACCAAATTAAACACTCCGTGCAGTGCTTGTAGAAAGACATGTACCTGATTTCTGAATCCATAAAGACCTGCAGTCTGACACCTAGGGACTGCCGAAACAGAAATCTCCATGCAGGTTATATTTTAAATTCTGTCCCTACCCAGCTCTTCCTGGAGGGAAAGCTAGCTATGTCTTCATTAAGCACATTAATCTATCAAGCTGCTCTCAGTTCTGTTCTCTGCACAATGCAACTCCAAACCCTTTTATCTCACACACACCCATTCACTCTGGAAACACTGGTTATTCTGGGCTGGAGGCACTCTCTTCTTCTGTTACAGCTCTTCCAGCTGAGTGAATAATGTTCAAGAGCTGCTAAATCAAAGACGCGCTTCAGCCTACTCAGGGGTTAGGGGATGCTTCGTATGGGGCCAAGGGAGGGCAGGGAGAACTGCTCTGGGCAGCTTCCATGTTCTGGCTATGCACATGTTGAACCCAGAAAGCAATCCTTAGAGAACACCTTGGAAGCCTTTCTTGTCCTCTCCTCTAGTTGCTGCCTCTTACCATCTCAATCAGTTTCTTGCACAATGACGCAGCTTCACACGGAAGCTGGAGGAGGCCAAAATTAGCCTGTTGACAATTAGGAGGAAGACATATATCCCGTTTCCCCCCAGGCAGAGGACGGAAAGGATTGAACTCTCCCACAACCTGGGTGAATGCTCCCAGCCATAAGCCATAGAATCAAAGACGTGCAGTAACAGTTCACCACTCCATTTTAAAACACTACTGTTCTTTGGGCTGGGTCTGAGCTAGAAGCATGCCTACACCTGTACCATGTAGCTGGATTAGGTGTTGGCTGGTCAGCCCTGCCAGACTCGGGCACTGCTGGGTGTCTGCAAAAGCAAAACGTTTCATGCTCCAGTACTCGAAGTACCGAAATGCAGGGACATCCAGCAGGCTGGACTCTTCCAAGGCCAGGTGCAGGAGTTTCTCATCAAGTCCCACCTCCGATACCTTTGTGCCTCTTAGGGACTTTATACCCCACTTACCTATTTTCCCCCATAAAATGAGGGTAATAATCCTTGTTTGCCTTGGGGGAGGTGGGGGGAGGGAGGGGGGAAGGGAATGAATGCTAAGTTACATACTGCTTTGAAAAATGCAGAAGTGCAACCCTGGCGCCAAAACATTCTCCTAGGGGTGGATATCCTTATTTCCTGGCGACTGAAAAGGGAAAGAGACAGAGAGGGGAGTGGGAGTGTGACCACCAACCCTCGGGCTGGCGTGGGCTGTGAAGGAGCCGTGTAAGGCTGCCGCTCAGACCCCCGGCTCCCACCCGTATCCCGGTGTCCCGGCTCACCCACCTCCCGCCGGCCCGGCCCGGGGCGGAGCGGAGCGGAGCTGCCGCACACGGAAAGCCGGGCGGCGCCGGGGAAAAGGCTGGGAACAGCCGCGGCCCCGGGAGCGCCCCCCGCGCCTGTCCCCCCGCGTTATTCCCCGCATACACACCGTCCGGCTGGAGCGGGGCAGCCTGCCCGGCGCGCAGGGAATGTCTGAGGAGCGGTGCCGGCGGGGGAAGCACGGCCGTCCGGGCCGAGCCCGCGGCGGGGAGGGCAGTGTTCACAGCGGCCGGGGACAGAGCTGCGGCCGGGGACAGAGCTGCGGCCGGGGACAGAGCTGCGGCCGGGGACAGAGCTGCGGCCGGGCCGCCTGCGAGCGCCACAGAGAGCTGGGGTGCCGCAGGGGCAAGGCCTGGAGCAGAGCGGTGGTTGTGTGCGTACGGAATGGGAAGAAAAAAAAAATAAATATTTAAAAAATCAGAATCACCAAGGGAGAAACACTGGGAGGGAACTTCCCCAGCAGAGTGAAAGTCCTCTGCCGCTCCTAAAGACCGGCTGCTGGGATACCGAACTCTGGGGCCCCAGTGTAAGGACATGAGTGTTGGAGCACGTCCAGAGGACCGCGAAGCTGCTCAGAGGGCTGGAGCACTTCTGTGAAGTCAGGCTGAGAGAACTGGGGTTGTTCAGCTTGGAGAAGGCTTCACAGAGACCTTATAGCATATTCCAGTTACTTAAAGGGGGCTTACAAGAAAGTTGGAGAGGGGCTTTTTACAAGGACTTGTGATAGGACAAGGGGGAGTGGCTTTCAATTGAAAGAGGGTATGTTTAAACTGGGTATTGGGAAGAAATTCTTCACTACGAGGGTGGTGAGGCACTGGCACAGGTTTCCCAGAGAAGCTGTGGATGCCCTTTCCCTGGAAGTGTTCAAGGCCAGGTTGGATGGGGCTTTGAACAGCTTGCTCTAATGGAAGGTGTCCCTGCCCGTGGCAGGGGTGGAACTAGATGATCTTTAAAAGTCCCTTCCAACCCAAACCATTCTATGGTTCTGATTCTATGGGAAGGAGTCAGGCAAGGGGAAAGCAGACTGAGGGATGCAGCCAGGGCACAGGAGCAAGCTTTTGTGGGCTTTGCTACATTTTAATCTGTAGGAGATGATCACACCAATTCATCTCAGTCTAAGCAATGTGAAAATTTGTGTTTGCTGGCTGCTTGGTGCTTGAGCTGTTTCTTTTGGTCTTTTGCAGATGGAAAGAGCCTCTTACCTCCAATACCACTGAGTCTCTGATGTGCTCGTATCTGACCCAAGATAACTGTAAGCAGGTTGATCCTCTACTCACATTGTTATCCTACTTCTAATGGTCATTATATTCCATTTCTTACATTACCTTATACTAAGTGGAACTTAACTTCTTCCTAAAGAAGTTAAGATTGAAAGATAGATCTGTAACTGAAGTAATTTATTTGCCTGTTACTGTAATTATTGAAGAGGAATCCAGGAGTGAAAAGGGAAGGTAAAAGAGAGGACAGAGTAATTTTTATATTAAAAAAATATAGTAATTTAAATTTTCAGATTGTACTGAAGTAAAATTTCTGGAAATTGATGCTGTTTGAAAAATTGGCAATCTCTGAGCTAACTCTTGAGCGCACTGCTGGCTGGCCTTATCTGCAGCAGTGACTCAGGGATTTATTAACATTGCATGGGAGACATAGGAGCCTAAAGCATTGGATCTACAACATACATCATGTTAACCAAAGCATGACCTAATCTGGACAGTTGGAAATGCAGAACTGAGGGCCATGTCTTAAGATTCATCTTTTAAATAAAATGAGGCTCCACTCTGTTGGGGTTGCACAACTCTCAGCCTCTTTCGGAATTAAGTGCCTAAGGCAGCTCTTGCTGAGTTATAGACCCTTCTTCAGCCCAGGTTGCTTCTTCTGGAGCCTTTCTCTTCCTAATAGGATGTGAACTCTGCTTCTGTCTCTGATGACCCCTGATGTCCCCCCGGATCATGAGGATATCTACACAGGAAATTCTCTTTCTCACTTGAACTGTTCTGCTTGGTATGGAATCAACTGGGCCTGAGATGACACCAAAGTATCCATCTTCATACTAATCTGGGTTATGTACTTTAATTACTAATACTTATTGTCACTCTTGTATTAAGTCCTTAAAAGTGACTGCATATGTATGTATTTTAATGGTCTCTCTGGTTGCCTGGGATATGTTTTACTTATGTTAAATCAGGTGAGAGATTACAACACACCCTGGCACTGAAACTGTATTTCTAAGGCCACTGAAAACAGGACCTCTGTGTTGGAATAGTGTGTTTAAACAAAACACAGGGAACTGGAGAGAGCCCAACAAACCAGTTTAGGAAAAGTCTTATAGAATTCTGTCAGGTCATGTGGAATATTAGAGAAGTATCTGGGAGCACCCATTGTTTTGTGCAAATTTACAGTGTGAAGTTGTGATACTTATGCTCAAAAAAAAAAACCCCAAAACTTATTTTCTGTTTGTTCCTGCTTCTCTCTTATAGTTGAATAGATGAAACTGGATACTTTAAGTTCTGAATATTTTCAAGATTACTCTTAGCTGTAAATAAGTAACTCTCTTTTCTACTGAGTCTACCACCACAGCACCTCTTTTTATGTGGTGACAGTAAAAACCAGCATCAAGATTTAACCATGTGTGCCCCCAGTTCACACATCACAATGTGTGTTTAGGGTGGATACTTCACTTATATAGCTCGTTGTTGCAGGTGGGAGGCATCCAGGATCTTGTCAAGGTCCTGATTTTGTGGATCCTGACAGCTCTCACTGTTTGCCCATACATCTAAATGGATGAGATATTTTATGCTGAAGCAAGGCCTGGAATGCAGGGACAGTTTAGGTGCCAGCTAAGCCTGTTTCAGTTTGTGAATAAAAGCTTTAGAAGTGGCTGAAGCAGCAGGTAAGCAGGACTGCTGTCCTTTCATGGCTATAGTATTTAAGCATCTTTTTATTTAATACCTAATGTATGTTTCAGCATGGAAGCAAGGTATTCACTGCTGCTTTTTGTACAGTCAACTGCTGCTGACAAGTGGTCATGAATTTACAGGAGTGTTTTTTGCAAAAGCTCCTTCTAAGTTATGGTTGAAAATCCAACCTGGAACTTTTTTGTTTGGTGCATTGCCTGATTTATCATGGAACACTCCTCACTACTATTCCAACTGCAGACTGAATTAAATCTTTTTGATTCTGTTATTAAAAACCTCGAGGTTTCAAATGCATAAATCACAGGACTCTATAAAAAGGATGTCAATGTATGCAGCTACTGTGGTTGGGTAACTCAGAAAGAAACAGCTAAGTTGTTTGTTAATGCAGCTGTATTTTCTGTAGCAATGTGCTGACATCTTTCAGATGCCTTTCTGCACAGAGAAAGTAATGTAATTCCAAATGATGCAGATGAGCATGTTATGCATGTTACATTTTGATGACAAAAGGCACACCTACACAACCATCTCATGTTGTTCTGTCACCTGCAAGAAACGATGGAAACTAAAACAAAAGCTGTCTTCCTGCCAAGGTGTCTGTGTTGAGCAGAGACATGTTTCTTGCTCCTCTGTTGTCTTATGCAAGTCACATACACACAGCAAGCTAGACACCTAGCAGCACTACAAGGAATTAGGAAAGAGGGGGAAAAGGAAAGATGTCCTCTCCATTATACACGTGAAAACACCAAAAATTAGGAACAATTACTTACAGAATTTTACTCTCTCCTAGATTTATGCAGCTTCTTGAAATTAAGCCCTGAGAGACCTAATTTTAAGCATATTACTAATTTCAAGAAAATACCATACATGAAGGTTCATTTATGAAAGGTCAGTAAATGCTCTAACAGATTTTGTACAAGTAATCATTTGTCTCACATTTTAATAAAGACAGGTTAATAGGCTGTTTGTCTCACATTTTGATAAAGACAGGTTAATAGGCTGTTTCTTGCCATGGCTTATCACTAGCTATGATGTCTTCTACTGATGTGCTGGTAATATTTCCAGTGTATCCCACTCCATTTTAAACATGCTAATAAAATACATTAATAATGTGCAACCTTTATAAGCCCCCTTGAAATGCAACTAGGATATAATCTTTATTGAAATGAGACCCAAACAGGTGCTCTCTCTTGTATTTAATGGAGTGTATTTAATACTGAAAAAATGTGCTTCAAGCCAAAGAACAGCCCCTTGTGTGTGCTGGTTCTGCAAATGACATTTGCCAGTTGTAATGAACTTAGACTATGAAATTCTAAGAGCCACAGAAGGTTATCTATGGTGAATGACTAATACCTTCTAAATTAAGGTCTGTAATTGCACTCTGGTGATTAATGCATTAAATTACCAATTTCTTACATGTAAAACACTTACCAAATGTGTATCTTATTGTACCTCTGAGCTCATCTATAATGTACAACAGGCAGGTGAAATACACAATCATTTCCCCCAGGCTTATTCCAAAGCAGGCTTCCACCCACACAAGATCAATGCTGTAATAAGGTCATTATTTCTGGAGATGATCTTGCATGGGTAATGCCATTAAGTTCCTTTAGCTTATGAGTCTCAGTTAAAATTATCATAATAAATGCCAGGAATTATTTAGTTTTTTCCCACCCGGATTTCACAACAAACATAGGAAAATCGGTGATCTTCTTAATAAACCTCTAGCTTAAAAAAAAAAAAAGCCAGTTTTTTGGGAATTATTAAAGTGTTTCAGAAAGCTTTTATTGAAGCAGTCAACTCAACAGTTTGTCCACAGAATGGAGAGAATAAGAAAAGATAAAACTCTACGTGTACAAAGTTAATTATTCTCTCTTTATGCATATAGAAGAATCAAAAATGAGCCTCTGCAAATGAATTTTTTCTTGGTTTAGGGAGCATTCATTTTGATCTCAGTGTGCTTCTGTGAGCTTCATTCTTAGTGAGACTAAAGACTTTGGAGAGGCAGGTTTTTGCATTTATCTGCCTTTATAGCCTTGGCTACCACTGAGTTCAGCTACAAATATGACTGTGTTAATTTGAGCAAAGAAGAGAAAAGCAAAATCAGTAAAGGCTAACTGAGCAAAGTTTGATCAGTTGATTAAAGTGCTCTACCAGTCTCGACATAAGAATAATTCAACATATTACATTTTAGCTTAAAAACGATATTTTCATTTTAACACATGTTGAAAACAAAGTTTCATCTGTTGAAATTAACACAGTCGGATCTTTGCAAAAATATCATGTGGTAACTGTGCTTACCCTGCTTTAGATTTTCAAAAATAAAGTAAAAATATGCAAAAGGATAGTTTCAGAGGAGCTGATTCAGCCCACTCTGCTCCTCTCCCAGGTCTGAGTAAATTGTAGGAGAAAAATGTACTCCCACAGTTGAATTGTATAAAATACAGCCCCAGATTGTCTGACCTCCACAGCTGTACAGGACAAATCCCTATTTTGGGCCCTGCTGCCAGGCCAGCCAGATGCAGCAGCAGCAGCTTCCCCCTGAGGCCACTCAGAGCAGAAGGAGACCTTTGTCCACCAGCCAGCCAGCTGTTCCTGTATTCTGCAAAGAAAGGCTGACTGGAGCTGAAACCTGGTTTTATACTAACCTAAATACCTTTCAAATGCTGGGACTGTAGTAAAATAACCTGTGACACCTTTTATGTTATTGAGTTGTCTGGCATTTGTACGTGAGTGTACACGAAAGCACTAGTGCAGACTCAGGTCTCTGCTCATGGAAACCCCCTGGGAATCACACAGCACACATGGTATCCATGTAAGACAGAAAAGAGCCTCAAGAAATAAGTTTCTGCAGTGTTAACAAAAAGGGAAGATGAAGGCAAAACAAAATCCATTGGTAACACCAAAACAAATGTCCCACGAAATTGAAAACTATACATACTGATGATATGCCAAGGTTCTGCATGCAGCTGGGATTTAAAAGCCAACACCTCCACGACAGCCTTGTGAAATCCTGCTGCACTCAAGATATCTGTCAGTTAACAACTGCACATTCAGCTGGGATGGCTGGATTGCTCCATCCTGACCACTTCTCCAAACGTAAAAATGACAGATGGAACATGACATGTCACGTCGTGCCACTCAAAACCACAAAGGACAAGGAGCGTGTAAAACCAGCACATCACTTCTTGCACTCCCAGGAACATTATCCTTTTAAGAATCTCCAGAGTAATTTATTAGCAAAGCTGGTAATATCCTTGAGGAAAAAGTCCTTAATATTTTTTTCACATGGGAAGATGCGGGCAGGCAAGTCTTGATACCAGATCACATTTTTACCAAGAACCAGGAGGAAGCAATCTTCTACCCAGATTCAAGAGGAAGGGCTGCTGGGCAGCAACATGAATTCCCAAGATAGGTGGCAGCCTCTCTGCTGCTGTTTCCTCTAGCCCCTATGTCCAGGGCAGGAGAGGCCTCAGAGTGCTGCAGATAGTGGGACCTGCACCCCTAGAGAGCTGTGCCGGAGACTGTCCCAGCAGCATCCTGCCACCACAGCCCACTCTGAAGAGGTGACCTTCAACTCAGCCTCCTGCCCCACAGTAGGAAATCCCATCGACTGGGGTCTCACCTGCCAGGATAGGAAAATACAGCAGTTGTGCTACAGCTCATTGTACCTCACGCAGTGCCCGGCTTAGCCGAACTCCACTAAGTGGTGCTTTGCACTCCTGATTTTATTCTGACAGCACCTGCCAGGCAGGAGTAACTGGAGAAAGTGCTTTGAGCAGGATGTCACGTTGCTTCTGGCTTCATCCACACCTGAGAGTCCAACCTTTCAGACATGAAAAGTGTTTCACTTTTGTATGGCCTCTTTCTGTACTTTTTCTGCCTGTTTTGACTTGGCAGCAGCTTCTGCTCATTTTGTGCTATCAGTACAAGCCCTAAAACACTGCTCTTATCTACACCTGTTCCTGCCAGGGAACGTGCTGCCTAAGGAAAAAGAGATGCTGCAGAGGGTAGCCTTCTGTGCCTCCTGCCTGTGAAGCAACCATCACCTCACAAATCATATTTGCCTGAAATGGCATGCTTGCCATTTTCTGTAACCCCACACATTGCTGTTATTATTTATTTACTTTGTACATTTGAGAGAATTTCGTGTCTGGTCACCTTTGCTACTGTCTGTCCTGGCCAACGCTCCAGCACTGACAGAGCTGTGTGGGTCGAGACCCAGTACAGATGGGCTACAGTAGCATAAACTTGTGTCTCTTTTGCCCTAATGTGTATGGTGCAAATCCAGGAATAGCCTTCAGCAGTGAACAGCTGTTGTTTTCAAGAGAGCAGAATCAATTCTCTATGATCATGCCAAGTAAAGCAGTGGAGGCTCAAATGAAGCGTTTCTCAGTTATCACAAATTTGTACTTCTCAGGTTTTTTTTGCATTTTTTGTCTTCTTCGAATTATATAGGAACAGTTGTGTTAGGCATCTGCACATGTGAGTCCATCTACATCTGGAATTTAAAATCTATCACAGCCTGCTTGGCATCCATTGCCCTGTAAGCTTTCAGCATATACTTACTGCTCTCCACAATCATTCTTCATTTCTTTCTCTGTGGCTCTGTTAATTAAAGCCTCAGCTCATTTTGCTTTTAAGGTCCAAACTCTCTTCACTCTGTAAAAGAGAAAAATACTCATCAAATGTCAAAGGTCTTTGAACTGTTGTATCTGTGTAATCCCGATGATTACTCAGGACTCTCTCTGACCAGCAGCCTGGGGTTTATGCCTTCTTCACTCAGTAAACAAATCTTTTCCACAGAGCTTAAATATCTAATTGCATGACAGAGGCTGTTGCTTTCCAGGAAAAGCACTTCTGAACACATCTTGCATTAGGCTTTGAGATTTCAGTGTAATCACGGGCTAATATTTTTCTGGTTTACATGCTGGTTTTTCCTTCCAGGGTCCTAATTGTGAACGTGAGATTTGTCTGCCCTGTTGTGAACTTCCCGTTCTTCAAATGCATGACTAATCTGAAGAGAAAAATGAATGCATGGGAACAACACAACAATGAGGCTACTCCTAAGTTTTATTTTTTATTTATTTATTTTTTAAAAATTTGCCTAGTTTTCAATGCCACTCACTTTGGAGCTGATGTGAGTTGAAAATACTCACTACTACCTCCTACATCTGGGCCTGAAGGACATCCTGATACGATCTGATAGTGTTGACTGCTGCTGATGGAAAAACCTAAGAGGACAAACCAAGGGAAAAAAATTACAAAGCACAACCACAAGGAGGGTCCCATTCTGCCATGGACTGTAAATATGCCAGGCTCAGTGGGGACTGCAGTGCCCAGCAGTCCAACTTATGCAAGTAGGAGCAGCAAACGTGGGTGCTTTCAGAGACCCAAGGCCCACTGTCATTTCTTGCTGATTATTTGGGGAAAAGGCCACTCCTACTTACTACGTGTTCAGTCTTGGATCACAGAAGTAAAGTGCATCGGGTTCAGTTTTCTTTTAAGCTAATTAAATTATCAATTAAATTATTGAGAAAGGATACCCACTAACTTTCTTTATGAAGGAATATAAGATCTGAATTTATCTTGGGTGTTTTTCTTACAAATTATTTAAAGTTTTTAAATTATTTAGTCTAGAAAAAAGCATTTAGAAAATGAGGGAGAGTGGCAGGTTGTTGTTCTTCTCAGGACTGCAAACAAATTGAGGCAATGCCCCTTGTGCTGGAAACCAAAGGCAGATCTGTGAGGATGAAATTGCATTTTAAAAGTGAATTTGGATTGTAGAAAATTCTCTCAAGAAAATCTGTCTGCCTTCATGGATGGAAGTAATTTCCTCCCTTAGATATTCCAGAACAGGCAGATACTTGATTTATGCTTACTGTCTCCTAGTGACATGAAATATGGTTTGGTGACACAGTTCCAATGAGGAAACTGAAGGTCAGGGAACAATTAATCACTTTCTTGATCATAATTAATTATGAAGATATGTAGGCATTTTTAGGATACTTAGGCATCCAAAGATGAAGACAGCACCGTGCTGGGTTTAAAAAACGCCTGAGGGAACTGTCTTAATTTCACTTGCTTGTCAGTGCCTAGAGCAGCAAAAGGCAGAGCCCTATGTTGTGAAGGCTTAAATGAATGCAGAGTACTACAATGCACCCAAATAGTGCAATGCAAGTAAAATCAGAAGTCTGGGTGGAGTTTCTGGAGTCCAGAGTCCAGTTTTGCTCTAAAGGAGTGTAATGCTAAACCTCTCCCTTCCTTCAGTGGGAGCACATGGCCTTTCTTCTGCTTCTGGGAATCAGGAGATAGGAACTTCAGACTATCTGGTTAGAAAGAGCTCACTGTTGAAAGGGGTCCCAGTTCCCATCCATTTCACTGGAAACTGCATATATCCAGAGCCTTTTGTCTGTAACAGCTCCTAGATTCAAAATTTCAGGGAATAGGAGACTGTCAGACCAGAGAAAACTGAGTGAAGAGGCATCATTACCTTTAATGATGCTGCTTCTTGGAAATTTTCCCCCCACTTTTTTCATAAACTAGAGAGAACATCATCACCTACGTCTTGTAGGTATATTTATCTCCACCAAGATGTATTTGTGACAGATCAGCCCCGCACCCTAGGCCTAATTGAAATGCTGGACTCTTCACAGCTGTCATGATATCTATTTTAATGCCAGGCTTCAGCCTCTAACTTGGTCTACACTGCACAATGCTGCAATACGAATGTATGTGTAAGTAAACCTGGTAAGTTACTGTGGTAGTTCTCTTCCTAAGCAGTTGCCCAAAATCCAATGGAAAACCCAACAGGAGGCGTACAAGCAGGCAGCTGACATTACCCATTGGACTAACATTCATTTTTGCTGCAGCACTTCAGTAAAAGCCAATTATACCCAGCTCCAGTAATGGCTCTATCAGTGATAGACTGCAGACATTTATAGTCTTCCTCAATGAACAAGCTAAGCGAAGCTAAATTGTTCTGCTAAACTTTTTTAGTAAGTAATTAACCCTGAATTATTAACAACAGGCAGCTATGGTAATGGTTATGAAAGAAATAACAACTGGTTGCACAGTTATTAACACGAGAGCTCTGAAGAAGGCAGGCGAACAGCATGTGCTGCCATGGAATTAATAGAAGGGACAACGGTGGCAAATGCGATCCCCCGCAGGGCGGTACAGTCCCAGGGGCTGAGAGAGCTGCTCAAAGACACTTGCTTTGGCAAGAGCAGCATGTGCTCAGCAGTAGATGGATGGAAGTCAGAAGTGGATGGTAATAAGGAACGTTAAAAATAAATCTAGCCTCATTAGGTTAAAAAAAAAAGGAAAATATGTGAACCTGACAGCTCAGCAACTGGCAACTCTTTAGTTCAAGCAGTTATCCAGGGAACAAGAAATTCATACTGGAACACCAGGAAGCAGACAGATGAAGTGACCTGCTGGGCACCCTGTGCTCTCTAACTGGACCGTGTCAGTGCCAATTTTCTGAAGCTGTGAGCTCACCAGCTTCAGAAAGGAGGGGGTCTTTAAAAAGTCTTACCTTGAAACATCCTAAAATATAAGGCAATTCTTAAAAACCTTGGCTACAAGGTTTTTCCAGGAGCATTTGTGTGCACCTGTGAATACTGGGACAATGAAGGATGGTAAGCTGATAGTCTTGGGACCGAGGCATATAGACACACCACACATGGAGCAGTGTGGGCTCCCCTCAGTGCTCCATTCTAACCATTTTCATGGACTATTTGTCAGCAGAGTGAGGAGCTCCGTGTCCCTTCTTGTCCTCTCTTGCTGAGAACACAAATGAGCAAGGCAAATAAGAGCAACCTCTTAGGAGGGAGGGGACATGTCCTGCTGGGTGCTGCACTGCAATTAAGCAACTTGTTTTGCTTCCCAGCATGACTGAGGTGACAGGATGAAACTGGAACAACAGTGTTAGTTACCAAAAAAAAAAACCTACGAGAAAGAGAGTAGAAGGATAAGCAGAGGAGAAACAACAGCAAACACAATAAAATGGAAAAAATGGATCCAAACCAAAACCAAGGCCCTTATTGCAAGCAGAACCAGTCTGATGACACAAATGCAGAGGTGAAGGAAAAGAGATGCTGGACCACCAAACCAAGAAGCTTGCCTTCCTTCTCTGCCTCTTGACTTTCTTTTGAACCAATTGTATTAAACAAACAGCTCCCTCTGTCCTGACTGCAGAACATGGGGAACTTATCCATGTCCCCTGGACTTCATTCAAATTTAAATGTCTTTTCTTCCTTCTCCAAGTTTTTCTTTAATATATTTTATCAGGTGAATCCAATCTTCCTAGGTTATAAACAGTCCCCATGTAGCAGCTTCCCCTGGCCTGCAGGATAGCCCCTTTGCCTTGCTGAGGAAAGATGCCTCAAGAATTCCATCTGTATGGGGTCTATGTGAATTATTAAAAGTCTGCTCTGGCACCTGAACAGGAAATAACTCAATCTCAGGCTAATGCCCTTTCTGTTATTGTTAAATAACCTATCTTCCTGTCCTGGAAAATGTAGGGCTGAAAGAGTGGACTGTAGGCTACTGTGTAATGGTAGTGAGGAGAGAAATATATATTGCATGAAGTAAATTGTATACATTATTCAGGGAGAGAAGGATTTGTCTGCCTATTCTGGCTGTACATTCTGGCATCAGAGAGTGACAGGCGAAGCAGGGCCTGTCTTCCCTCCACCATAGTGCCTCCTTTCTAGTTCCTTTGGGAACCGCGTTGAGGGGACTGGTCATGCCCTTGACAGTGGGACATCTCCCTGGGTTTGGGGCAGACATTTACTTGCTCTCCTTGCTTTCTCATTCCTTCTGACCCCACTGGGCATCCACGGGAGATCAAGAACAGGAGCTTGAGATGTGCTTCTCTCATCTGTCCTACTCTTTCTCTGACAGCTGATGTGCTAAGCTGTGCTACCATCCGCAGCGCAGCACAGGGAGGAACAAACAGCTTCTGGGGCATGTGAAGCAAGTTTTGCATAAACATGACAATGGTCTCTGCGCTCCACTGCCTGAGCTGCTGTTTCTCATTGAGCTCAATAGAGATAATTGCCGAGAGAGGATTTACTTCACCTAATGCGCAGGGAGTATTAGAAGGGCTGCCTAAGACAGACCTGAAGACCAGAAAATCCCAAGTTTGGATTTGTCACAGAACAGAATTCTGAAATCAGTGTCACTTTAACAGTGCAATAGGGCTTAATTCACAGGAATTTACTGGAGTTCAGCCCACACTACACGAAAGCTTCTGTTGATGGAACAGAGAGTATTTCTGGCTGTGATTTTGATGAGTGCTGACCAGTTTGCCCAGTACTATCAGTTTGGAATTAGTCTGTGGGCAAAACTGTGCATCAGCCAAGTTTAGTTCTCACAAGCTGGGAATCATGCAGAAACAGAATGGGGAGGGCCCTCAAAGCTCATTTCACCCCAATGTTTTCTTAGCCTGTTTTTATTTAGAACAGTTAAAAAAAAAACCCCAGAGGGCTTTTTACAGATTCCTCTCCTTCCTTGTAACCATCCCTGTGACTAGAATGTTTTTCCTAATATCTAACCTAATTCTCTCAAGCTTCAATTAAGCCTATTATTCTTGTCCTACTTATATGGATAAATTCCTTCGTCTTTGCAAAATATGCTTATTACAGAAAACCAAATTTCTGTGTTCGCTTCTGTTGTTCACACTGAACACATGATCTGTGACCTGTGAGGACAGGCCAGGCTCTTCCAGTTCTCTCTGTCTGGCTGCCCTCCAGCTACTCCACATTTTCCTTGAATAGGAAAAAAATTGTTCAACATTTGACACACTGCTCTAGCTGAGGCCCTACTAGTGCTGAGTGCAGCTGAAGGATTGCTTCATGCATTTTATAAGTTACAGTTCTGTGTAAACATCCTCATATTGACATTTAACATTTTCACAACAGCCAGGTCCTGTTGACTCATGCTCAGGTTATGATTCACTCCCTGCAGAGGTCCTGTGAGACCTTGGATCTCCACCCTTCATCCAGCGCTCTGCAGGTCAAGCCCTCGTTCATAAGTCAGTGCTGAGGGCTGACACACTCCTCTTTTTTTCGTTTTTAGAAATATTGTCAGGGTGAAGCCAGTTCTTGTTTTTCCTTCCTGGAGTTCTCAGTACGTACCCTTTGCTCTCTCTGCCGAAGGCACACGGGTTGTCCATCCTCACTAACATGCTGCTTCTCCCCTCACCAACAAGGGTTTTCCAGGGCCTGTTTTAATTCACATCCAAATAACTCAAGGGAAAACAGCTTAATCTGCATAAGACATGCTCATCCTCCCGTCTAGTTTCACTTACATGGCAAACATCCTGTCATGATCTTACCAGCTCTGTAGTCTCTCAACGCCCTAAAAGCATCCTCCCTCCTGAAGGTTTGGCTGCTGAGGGTTCAGGGAGAGCTCAAGGTTGACCTGAGGTCTTAGGCCAGGGAGTTGTGGAGTTTTCCAGGCTGGCAGGCTGGCCAGGTTGCTGCAAAGGCTGGGGGGGCACCTGGGGGCACCCCTTAGCCCAGGACACCTGCTTGTGGGTGGGGACACTGGTGCAGATCCCAGGATGGGAAGTCCTCTCATGAGAATTCAAGCCCTATGTGAAAAAAAAAAAATAACATCAGAAACAGTCCTCTGTTTTTCCCAAACATGCAAGCACGTAAAACTCCCAAACTCAACCACACAAGTAATCCCTCCAAAGCAGCCTCTCTGGAAGTCTCATAAACCAGAAGCAAAAAATGGTAAAAACTCTATTACCTTTAAAATCTGTATTAAGTACAGTGCTAGCAAAGGGCTATCAAACATTATTAATACATCCATGTTTTCTAGAGTATTTGCAGTTCTTCGCTTTTTAAAATACAAATGGTCTAATAAGTCATAAATTTACATTTCTTAAGTTACCATGTCTGGCTCCCTTAACAAAATGACTGCAATACAATACATACAGCAGTGTAAATCCATAAAACCACAGAGCTCCAAACATTAATCAGAAGCCTTCATAAGAGAAATTAATAAGTGGAAGTCCAAAAATTTAATAAGGAATGAAATTTCACAAGCTCTTAAAAGACTAGCAAAGACTGGTTTCATAATATTTTATAAGGCATCTAAAGCAAATTCAATACTTTTCAATGACACTGTGAAACATAAATCACTTAACTGACTGTAGGCTTGAGACGTGCTTCAATTCAAGGTTGGTATCACAGCACTCCTGTCTTATTTGCTGGAGTGACAATCCTGAACATCAGTTGGTCATGCAAACACCTCTGGAAAGCATGGGGCCTAAAAAGGAAGGGGTAGCTAAAAAAGTACTAAGACCTGACAGATGTGTCTCTGGGATCGATCTGAAGATGCAGTTGAGACAATTCAGCAGAAAAATTTGCAAACCTTGTGTAAGCAGGAGTGGAGGATAATGTGGAGTACGTCTTATCTTTCAATACCAATTACTACATTCTCATCCATCTTACCACAGAATAATTGGCATTATTCTAATAATTGTTTCTGCACCATACATTTTTTTTTGTCTCCTTCTGCTTCTTGCAGTCATATGCAATTGCTGACAGGATGCTAATAAACACTTTCTTGAATGGTTGCAGCACATCTATAAATCTACGAGCCTGACTCATGAGTGGGGCCACTAGATGTTACCACAGTACAAATAAATCATTAAACAATCATGAAAAAATAACAGATTAACTTGTAGTGATCCTCTATTTAGGGCAATAGAGATATTATTAATTTACTTTGTACATAAAATCAGAACTCAGTCTTATTTTTCCCTTTGTTTCAGATTAGCCCACATGATGGCAATCTCTGTCATTAATACACAGCGAGTTATTCCTTCAAACACCGCCAGGTCAACACATGTTTCATTCGCTCAAGACCAAAAATAAGACAAGAAAATCTGCTTGGATTTCAGTAAGTGTGTGAAACAGCTGGGAATTCTCCTGAAAAAGAACAAATAGCCTGTAGCACCACGTGGGTGAACCGTGCAGGCTTCAGCACAATGCTTGGCACAGCACGCAGAGGAGAGAAAAGCCACGTTGCACCTACAGAAGCTGTGCCCCTGCTGCACCCATTTCGTGTGCTCCGCTTAACCAAAACCACTCTCTCCACTTGCAGCTGGATAAGGGATATAAAGCTGAAAATGCACCAGAGCAGGTGTTTTGCTGCCTTCTCAGCCTTCAGGTAGGAGCTGGTAAAAGAAGTGAGGAAGGGAAAAGAAGGCCAATGTCACAACAGTCCAATAAGTCAAAAGAACCGAAAATGAACTTTATTTTTTTTTTTAAGTATTCTACAATAATGGCTCAGAATACTACCACAATGTATAGGGACAAGGCAGTGCTCTGGGCTATGACTGTAGATTACGCCAGTGTGTGTGTGTATATATATATATATATATTTATATATGTGTATATATATATATATTTAAGAGCTTAAGAAAGGTTAATGCAGGATGGTTCAACATTTCTTAAGCACATAGTTCATATTTTTAACATTTTCTAGATCTCTCATTTTATAGCAGGATTTATCAAATGCAATGTAGTCACAGAAGTCTTGCATAAATACAAATATTGATACTTTACCTTGAATATTGTCTATGATATAAATTCTGCCTTACCTTTAAAAAAAAAATCTCCAGATCACTGTGTGACCTGGGAGTCTTTCCTTTTCTTTCTCTTTAAGAGTTTTTAAATATATATATATATATATTTATATATAATTGCTATCATACATCAAAGTATATATGAATCCCATCATTTCTGTTATATTTTCTGCAGACATGGTCTGAACCAAAATCACCAACAACTAAATCAAAAGCTTCCTGGTTATCATAGGAAAGCCAAAGAGGATCCTTCCTCTTTTTTGTGTGTGTTTCAGTACTGGTATTTTTTTAAAACTTGAAAGGATTCTTCATAAACTAGAGGTCCATTCATCATTTAAAGCAGTCTTTATAAGCAAATTTACATATTTTGACATGCTTTTGTGAGGCAGTTAGTATCAAAATCCAATAGCATTTCTTACAGAACCATACGACTTTCTGCGATGCAGATATACATTTCATTTCTAAAAAGCCACAGTTCTTTTTCTACATCTGCTCTCATCAAATCCCCAGGATTCATTCATAAAACTGCTGCCGTTCCAAATGCTGATGCTGTTATCCCTGCTGTGGATTAAGACATACACTCAATCTCGTGACATCATCACGTGGAAGATTGATAAGTAGGAAAATACCCTCCCCAAATCCACAGATAAGTCTTTTCCGTCTCTAAATCCTCACGATTTCTTGTCACCCAACAGTGCAATGCGATGAAGACACAACTCGGTGCAGGCTAAGGGACTTCTTCCATCAAAGGAATCTCTAGGGGAAACAAAGAAATAGCAATGACTGTAATTTCCCTTTATGCTTTTGCAGGGTATTATTGTTAGCAATTCTACAAAACCAGAAATGGACATTGCAAATATCTGAACAAGACATGAGGTGCTGCCGATTCTAGACTGCTCATGCTCTGACACCTATATGAAAATTAGCTTACTTAAACTACTCAGATTTCCTCAAACAAGTTAGGCTCACAAAAACCTAAGTGCAAACATCCTTGCTACTACATTAATCACTGAAACAGCATTCATAGTAGGCAGGGACTACTTTTACTGACATTACCATAATTACTACTTCTCCTCCTAACTGTCCTCTTCCCCTTGTGATACCACTAAAATTAATCTAATCCCTATGAAGCAGGAAGACTTCCTCCACCCAGACCTTCACCCACACTAAATTTAGGATGCTGGGCTTCAGCTCAGTGACTTGTGGAAAGATATGAGTCTCTCTTTCTCTAAGGAAAGCTATCTAATTTCCTTAACATTCTGAGCAGCACACCATCAGAACTCAGTGAAATGGTATCAGTGCATGCCCATGTTCGATTTAAATGCAGGCAGTAACACATGGTAAGCTCCCTCCTCACACATGGTCCTGTGGGTACATTCCCCTTATCCTGCAAGTTCCACGTCCATGGCTTAATGCGCACATGCCTCAGATGGAAGGAACCCTCTGCTCAGTGCACAGACACGGTGAGTTTGATAATAAAGGCTGCTAATTTTGACCCAGTACGAAAACATGATTTGTTTTCTATTTCAAGGAGAAAAACCTGTTCTTTGCTGTCAAAGCCATGGCGTGTGAGGGATTTGTGAGTATAGGAGTTGAGGAGAAGATGAACAGATCAGCACAGGCAAGATGATGGTTGGCTTTGCTGCTGCACACAGGTGCTTCCTGACATCCCTGTTGATGAGACTGGGGTCTGGACAGAAACATTCTGGCCTGGGATTCAAATCACATGCACCAGAGCTAGCAAGGACATACCACAGACACAAAGCCCTACAACCATGGAGTTGTACGATTTAAAAAAAACATCCAAATTAAGATGTGAACAAAACCATGGAGAAAGTATGAGCAAGTCAGCTAAGTGTATTCCTTCTCTGCCAGCACAAACGGATGTCTCCTGTTTACGGACTCACCTATTGCACCTACTCAAGACTCACCATCTGTAATATCGATCCGCGGACTCGTGGATGCAGCCTCCCCGTCAGTGCTACGGGATACGTCAGTTCGATCTGAACCGGGAAGCGCTGCCCCTTGGCACGTCAGGGATGGATACAAACTTTGGAGCAGTTCAGAGGAACCCGACCTACTGTCACAGGTCTCAAATTCGCTAGGCAGCATGTCTGTAATCCTGGGGCCAGGGTAAGCGGGAGGATTCTGATCTTCCGTCTGCAAAATGTGCCCCTGGTCTGTGGTGGCTGAGTATCCGGGTGCCAGAGCATTCAAGCCGCTGCTTACAGCTTCGTCGTAGGAGGGCAGCATGACAGGAACGCCATCCACCACCACGAAGTCAGGGTCACCCATGGAGCCCTCCTGGTTGCCTCTACGTCAAACACAGACGAGTTATCACAGAGAGAAGGAGCATGTCAGAAGCACCTCGGAACAAATGCTGAACTTCTGTAAACACAGCACTTTCTAGTCGAGCAAAATGAAGCTACAGGGCCATTAACATTCACATAAATGTTTTTTTCAAGCGTTTGCAAAACTCTGTTTGGATTGACAGGTGAAATCTGTTACAATCGGAAAAATGCAACTAGTAATGTGAAGGACAATTTCAAGAAGGGAGGAAAACAGGTGTTTGGAAGAGATAAGGAGCACCATTTGCTGTGCTGTGCACAGTAGGTATCGTGGATATAGGATCACAGATGTAGTTCACCAGCCAAAAGTGTCTGAACCCCCTGGAAAGATGTGTGCTAGAGCACAGAAGTGTTTACAGCCCATGTAAACAGGCACTGAGATAACTACTGCTGGATGACAGGGCTTTGGTGGCCAGATTTGTGGCCTCCCTCGGGTCTTCCTTTCAAAGGATGGAGGCTTCCTTTCCTTAACCAGTATTAAGCTGTATTCTTTTTTAAGTAATACATTTCTATTAATTGGGAAGGTCTGTTCAACTCTGAAGTAGCTGTTTAGTAGCCAATTAAATGACAGTATAGTCATGGCAGGAGGGAATTGGTCCCAGGTACCTCTAAGTCATGAAAATATCTAAAGAGGAGAGGACAGAAAACCTTTCAATAAGCTCTGTAAGTACAATCTATAGACCTATCCATAGTGCAGCCCATCACCCCAAAGATCTTCCTGGTGATATAGGTGTATGCACAGGTATTTGTATACTGCTCCCCATACACTGTATATATTAACACTTCTATGTATATAAATTTACACACTGCTTATACAACCTCCATATACTTAACATTAAGAACACAAAGTCCTTTCTGCTGCATTAGCATGGGGACATATTTACTGACATACAGCTTTTTCAGCTCTCACTTCTGCTTGTGGTAAAATGAAAACATGAGAAAAAGCAAGCGTAGGAGAGAAGTCAAGGTCCACAACGAACTGAACAGACTGAAAATGAGAAACACGTCTAACCCTCGATACAGTTCTAGGTTTGCCTAAAACTCAGCATGTCTGCCTTTGTTTTTCCAGATGTAAGGTAATAATACCTACCTGTCTCATGAGGAGTACTATGTGAATCAATGACCAATGCTCATAGCTGCATGGTATTTTATGGAAATAAAGGAAGATGCAGGAGATACTTATGAATCATGACGAAAATAATACTAATGAAGGTAAAGCAAACTTTTAATCTAAATTTGTCCATAGAGAAAAAAGAAATTCTTTCTTAAAACTTACATTACTAAGTCTACAGTAGTTAAAAAATTAATTCCCCCAGCACCTGAAAATGAGTATTTAAAAATATTGTCAGCTATTTTTACATGCAGAAGCAGCAATTCTCAGTAGCAGAGCTGTAATTACTCCCTAAGTGAATCTGGCAAACTTTGCCTTTTATCTTAATTGCAGAAAAGACTACTGTAGGTTTTTTGGGGTGTCCTTCCACACCAGTGATTCAGAGACTTCTGCTCAGAGCAGAAGAAAGTATCTGCAAGGCTTGTGAGCCGCTCCATCTCTTCAGCAAAGAGTGCTGAATGTGAAAACTGAATCTAGACCATCAATCTTCAAAATAAGAAAGAAAACAGTACAAACCGTGGAAGGAAATGTGTCTTAAATTTGGTCTGGAACATCCTGGCTAAAATAACCAGTAGCAGTACTAATAAAACGCTGGTAGCAGTAAACGCCACTATTTTCCATGTAGTCAGGAGGGTCTCCTGTGTATTTGGCCAGGTTTGTTCTGTAACAAAAAAACAGTACAACAGTTGTGCTTGATTATTACCATTGTTATTTTGTATGAATACTTCAACAATACTCAGAAGTGCCAGTTAGGACAAGATATTTTTTCTATGCATGTTGTAAAAACACACATAAACCCAGTGCCATATACCAAAAGCAACCTTAAGCTGTCACAGGTGCTGTTCCCCTTGACTGTTTTTTTATACATGCAATAATGACCTTAGTTTACATACACATAAAAATATCCAAATGCTTTAAAATACACCTGAAGAGGTAAAAATCAAAATGGTTTAGGATCATTCAGCATCTCAGAAATGTGTTATATTTAACAGTGCCTTAAAATCAACATTCATCACTTAACCATGAAATAGAGGAAGTTC